AACATTATCCATTTGTTCTTAGTTATCTCCTGTTTGTTAATTGTATATGGGTTTGGCGTATTTAGTTTTAGTTGGTTTGTTTGCTGTGTTTGTATATCGATTATTCCTGTAATTACTTTAAACCATGCTGGTTCTCTGCTTGTTGGGATTTTGTATGTAGTGTATAGTGTTTGTTTCTAGATGATTGTTTGTGTCTGTGATGAGGCCTTGGATTAAAGTCGTAGTAGTGCTATTAGCTGTGGGGTTATGGTTGATAAGTAAGCAAAGGACGAAACAATATTCCATCCTTTGTAGGCACTTCTTTTGCCAATTGTTGATTACAAGGTTGTCTTATTTTAGATATTGTATGATTAGGATATTCTACAAAAGTACAATATAAACATATCAGGATTTGTCTAGACTTTTTTGTTGTTACCTTACTAGGTTCATACAACTTATTACATGCTAAACAAGTTGCATAATTATTTATATGTAGACCTAAACTCATTAACTTTTTGGCTAAATAGAGTGACTTAGGAAAGTTTTTAAACTGATCCTGATTAAAATCTGTTAATAGAAAATGAATAAATTTAACTAATGATTCTGTTGCTATATCAGGTAACCAATATCGTTGTTGATATCTTAGGATCCAGATTAATATCCAACCAAAGCTATTGTCAAGATTATCAATATGTTCGAATTCTTCTTCATCTCCATTTTCAATATCAGGAGCAGAATAATCTATTATAATTTTCTCATCACTTTCAGGCTCTATTTCTGCACCTTCTTTATCATCATTAGAGATATTTAAAGTCTCAAGAACTATAGCAATATCGGGTTGTTCTCTAATTATAGCTTTTGTTTTTTTTCTATTATTTTTAGTTACAAAAAATGAATCTTCTTGAAGAAACGATTCTTCTTGAAGACTAAGATCAATTAAAGTAGAAGAAGGTATATTAGTTTGAGATGTGCTACTGCCTTCTGTTTGAGGATCTGTAGAAGAAAGGAAATCATCTCCAGGTTCAGCAAAATCTACTAATTCTTCATATATTCCATATTTTTCAATATGTGCATCTCTTGTTCAGGAATCACAGGGTTCTTTTTCACCTTTGCACACTTTACATGTGCAAATAACTTTTTTTCGAGTTTTTACTGCAGGTACTTTTATAAATAACTAATGACTATGTTTCATTTTAAAAAATATTTTAGTGATTGTAGTTTTAGATATCGGGTAGTAAGGCAGACAAGTGGTCTTTAAATACAGAATTTTTTATGCAGCTATACTTTTTAGCAGCTACGTTAAGGATAGATATTTGTTTACATGTTTTTTCATGCAATGTACAAATAAATATACATGTACAACCAAATATACAATTATAATTGGTTAATTTTGCAGATCATTAAATTTTAATTGGTTTATTTTCATGCTATGCGCAAACAAATGATAAACAAATACCTACCCTTAAAAACAATTATTTTTAGTAAGTGATAACAAAAAGAGGTACGAAAGATAACTCATTGAATTATTTATTAAATTTTCTTTTATATCTCCTCAAAATAACTTCTAAAATTATAGGAGGCATTTTTCATTACAATTTACTTATACTATTTAGAAATTTTTTATTATTATAGTATTTCATTTTTTTTTTCAAAATATTAGTACAATAGAAAATAGAAACCTCAAGGAATTTTATACATATATCCAAATAAGAATATTGGTAGAGTTTGGGTCCTATAGCTTATTGGTTAAGCTCCCAAACCCTTACAGACAAGGTCAACAGTTCAAGTTGGGCTGGAGGCAAAAATAATTTGTTTTTATAACCTACGGGGGCTATAATCAGATGCGAAGCCCTGTAGAAAGTCCAAGTGCAGTACGAAACCAGAATAAGAAGTTCCCAAAAGAAGACCAGGTTGTGGAGTAAAGGCATTACGTGTGATAGCAGCATCACAGAAGATCTAAGCAGTAGAAGATCACGCATGTAAATCCTCTGGTTGGGGTGACTCAGAGACAATACCAATATCATATTATCTCCATATTCGGCAACACCAACATCCCTACACCTAACTTGTAGGTACTTGCTTGAAAGGATGATCAATGAATCGTGTGTATAAGTTCTAATGTGGAATAGTGTTGGGCACTTGCTTGGAAGGGTGATACTATATTACCAAAACTGGAGTAGTGAAAGAAGTAGTGATACACAACTATGGGCTGTGGTAAAGGATTATGTCTTAACTGAAATTAGAAGCACCTCTGGTACCGGTGAAATGACCATAGAAGGCTACTCGGCATAAAGAATATAACCTACTCCTGTATATCTAAAGGTGCCAATTTGGGCTCTGGTCACACCTATATAGAAGTCTATGACAAAAAAGAGTTAGGATTTACCAACATTAATGCGACACCAACTAGAAACAGCTAGCTGGAAGTGATTTAGCTTGCCACTTAAATAATTTCGTGGTGTTAGACTAGTCTTTAACAAGATAGGTCATTAAAGCAGAATTACGAAAATAGCCAATAGCTGGAAGTGTGTAGCCTTGTAGTTGCTATGCAACTCAAGGAGTCCTCATGAACTATAGTCCTGACAAATACCATATAAGGAAGTACTTAGGGGTAGTAAGTAGTATACTGCATCAGATAACTTAGAAAACGCTAAAACCTGAGAACGGTAACTCACATAGGCGCAGAGAGTTTAAATAGGTAACCCCCTAGTCGGGTTGCAGGTATGACATCTAGTGTAGA